TTGAGGACCATGTCGCATTTTGTGATCCGTGCTTTCTCCAGAACAGGCCAGGAATCGGTCCTCGGGCACGTCAATGGTGGATGCTGGCCCACAGCGGATCACCGATTCCATTATGATGAATGTCAGTGCTGCGCTGCTCAAGGACTTCCGCACAGTCGCGGCGAGGACGAACATGCAGGATAATATGAACGAGCAGTTTCTTTCGAGTTTCATGGAACTCGACGAGCTCAGTGAGATGCGGCACGTCGTCTCTGCCCTTTAAGCATCGGCGGAGGGCACCAACGCGAAAAGGATCGCCTTCGAGACTCTTGCTCAAGCCTCATCAGCTGAAAATCCTTCACGCTTCGCGTATCCCCACCAGTTTGACACGCCCTCTGGACTTTTCCTTGCGGGCCGCCGATCAAAAAACAAAAAAAGTATCCCCACCAGCGTCCCTCGGCGGCAGCTCCAGCAGCAATTAGTGCGCGCGCTAGGTAATTAGATTTCGCTCGTAGCCCGGGCTGACTTCGGACGCCGCCTGCGCCTTCGCTTGCGGCCGTGACCAAGAATCCCCATCAGCCCATTCAGAAGCCGTGCCCACGAGAGCTGACGGGAAAAGGGACGAAAGGACACATCTAGGAAAACAAAGCGAGCAACCAGTATGAACCGAGAGATCTCTGGGAGCAAGGGGGTGGCCTTGGAACGCCTCTTCGGGCCATCCCTGGGGGCCGCGTGGGGACAAGGGGAAGAGGAGGAGGAAGAGGAGGATGAGGTCGATCAAAAGATGGGGGGTCCTCGATTTCGGCCCCTTCCCAGGAGCCCTCAAAATCGCCTCTTCGAGGTCTCCTGGGGTCCTGGGGCTCTCTTGAGGCCCTCTTGGGGTTCTCTTGGGGCCCTCTGGGAGCCCTGGAAGGCCTCTTGGGGCCATCTTGAAGGCCATTTATTAAAGGAGGAGATGGGATAACGTTCGATCCCCGCCCAAGGGGCCAACATGAGGCCCAAACCTTAGTAAAACCAATGATTTGGGCTTCCTCGCCGAGGCCGTTTTGGACGCCCTGACACCTTGTGGACCCCCCCAAAAAGAAGTCCAGGGGAGGGGTCAGGGGAGGGGTAAACCCCTTCCAGTAGGGGAAGAGGTTTTTTATTGGGGGGGGAAGAGGGAAGAGGAATCTCGTTAGACCACTTGCGCCCAGAGGGCTGGTGGGATTCAACAGGGGGGGTCCTCAATTCGTTCTGATCCTTGGAAGGCCCGGTCTGGTGGACAAGATCGAAAGCGTGTACGCACCGACAAGGCAACTCCGTCATGGACGGTCAGCTGAGTGACCTCGAGGACTCCGACCCGTGCCGCGGGCGGGCGAACGGGTTCCCGAGGCCCTTGCTGGAAGCCGTACGCGAGCACCATTTGAACCATGTGTTGGAACCTTCGTTGCCTCAGCATCTTCAAGATGGGGCGACCGCCATGCTCGACACGCATCTCCCAGCGCTACTCTCTGAAGTTCATGTCCGAGGCCATGGCGCAGGAGTTCATAGAGCTAGTGCGCGACAATTTGGCAACCCATCGAGTCCTACTTGCAGGAACAGGGGCCGCGGTCGCCAGGCCGCCCCTGGGTCAAGCGGCTTCCGCGACGAGTTCCGCTTCGTCAGCGATGATGTAGCCGCGCTCTTCCGCGGCCATTGCATTCATTGCACAGAGCACGATCAGCACATCGTCGGGCCGAACAACGGCGGGCTCGCAGACATCGGCACGCCGCCCGAGAAGGCCCGCGAGAGACTCCATTCCGCGCGCGCGCCAGGGGACATCAACGGCGCGTGCTGGGATGAAAGGGGGGCCACCTTTAGAGGGCTCACCGGGTGCCAGGGCCAGGCCTAAACGCTGTCTCGCTGGATTTCGGCCGCGTTTTGTTTTCCGTTTTGGCAGGGGGCGCGGGAAACAGGTGGGGCAAAGAGAAAAGCACGACGAAAGCAAAGCTAACAAAACCTTTGGGCCCAGCCTTGCCAGGTGCCCCTCCTCGGGCATCGGAGGGCGCCGAGGGTGGCGGTTTGCGCCCCGAGAGGTCTGCGCCTGTTTCAGGTTCGCCCCCTTCTTCGACTCCTCCGTCGGCGGCGCGGCTCGCGCCGCCCCCTCCTCCTCCTCCTCCTCCTCCTCCTCCTCCTCCTCCTCCTCCTCCTCCTCCTTCTCCCCCTCCTCCCCCTCCCCCTCCTCCTCCTCCTCCTCCTCCTCCTCCTCCTCCTCGTCCCCGTCCTCCTCCTCCTCCTCCTCCTCCTCCTCCTCCTCCCCCTCTGCAGCTCTCTCCGAAGATTAGAGCGAGACTGTCAGCGTGGAATCTCAGCGCTCTCCTCGAACCCACCTGGTTCCAGGAAGCGCCTACTCGTTGAGTTCAAGTCCATTCAGGGTCTCTCCCCCCCGCTTCAGGGCCAGCGCACTTCAGGGAACTCGCTGGCATATTGGGGGTACTGGCGCTCTTGGGCGTCGATGTTATGCGGTCAAAGCGTGGGGCGCCTTCTGTGACGACCGCGCTGGTGGTCGTGTGATAATGGTCCATCGTGACCTTCTCGCGCTCCTTTTGTTTGTCTCGCATGTGTGGCGATTTCAGGGGCGCGTGCACTGTCCGCCTCCCAGTGTGGACTTTGGTGGCGCGATGATTGTCAATGCGCATGTTGATTCCGAACTCAGCAATCGCATGAAGCGCCAGGGCGCACGCCGCCCCCCCCCCCACCGGGATGCAATGGCCGCGTGGCTTCTCGGGGATAGGAGAGCTTCGCATACGGAGGAGGCGCCAGGGCCCGCTTGAGATATCATCCTGCCGCGGCTGTCCTGCCGGACCCGAATGCCGAGGGACTTGCGCAGTCGGTTCGCGAGTTCGACGTGCCGCGGCAGGGCGCGCCGACTTCCCCGAAGAAGTACGCTGGCCTCATGCTGGTATGTGTTGCATTAGACTGCATGTAGTTCTGGATAATCCCAGGGGCTTGCGTATGTGCAACAAATTTGTCGATCACAGCCAGAGGTAAATGGGACGCATACCGTCGCTGTGCGGCTGGCGTGGCTGATGCACTACAACTGGCGTGGGGAGATTGTGCCAATTTTGCACGGCAGCCAGAGGCTGTATGGGACATGCCAGTTTCGGAGCGTCATCGAGTCGAATTTTTAGCATACAGGCTGAGTAAAATCGTGCTGGAAGGTGCAGGCATTTTCGTTAGCAGACCTTTTACGCAGATGGGTGCAGTTGATCTTCTTTTGAACGGGAAAGTGCGTGTTCATGCGAAGGCTCGCACCCGAATGTCAAGTACCATTGCTGGGAGCTACAACATCATTTTGCGACGGTCGGCTGGGAATGGAATTGATAGGCGCTTTTCATCCGACGAGTTTGACGCTCTCATGGTGCAATTGATCAGAGGCGTTGGTCGGCATATTTGTCATATCTATGTCTGAACTGTTACAACGTGGCCTTGTAGCTTCAGGCATCCCTCGCAGAGGTGAGGTGAGCTCGTTGTACTTGTACCCCCCATGGCCGTTGCCAGACACAGGACAGGCAAGCAAGGCGAAGGCATGGCAGTCAAAGTATTTCTTTCCGCGTGAGAGCGGCTTTGAGGAAGGCGACGCACACAGGTTAGAGGACTTACTGGTTGGTGCAATCCCCGAGATTGCCAGCGTCCTATGACGCGCAGCGCTCGATATAGTGAAAATGGTCTGGGGGTGCTGGTTGTGCCACAGTTGTATGGCCAAAGGACGATGTTTGGTTCAGATGCATCGAGGGAGGATGACCAGGTGTTTCAGAAACACATCGCCATTTCTAGACACAACCTCGCGCCTGTTACACACATGTCCCCGTCAGTTTTTCACGGTGCACGTTGCGTTTAGAGTCTTGGCGTTATGTTGTGCCAGTGAGTCAATTGCTCGTGAAGGTTGCTGAAAATGTATCATGCCCTACGCATGAGCCCGTGCGCGGTTCACTTCCTGCGGCGGTGTGCTACTTGGTAGACGAGGTCAATGTCGACGAACTCGAGGTTGGGCGAGCCGACATCCGTGTAGGGCGCCTCTTCCTTGCACACGCCATCCAGGGCGCGATTGCTATCTCGCTGCTGACTGGACATCGTAATCGGTGGAGGGTCCATTCTGCTTCCGAGGGCAATGCCAGGCGGCAGCCTGCACGGCACATCCGCGGAGGGCAGTATCTACATTGGTTCCTCGTCCTCCGTTTCCTCCTCATCCTTCTCCCCCTCATCCTCCTCCTCCTTCCTCTTGCTGCTTCCGATGCTTCCATTCCTCTTCCTCATCCGTCTTCCTCCGCCTTCTTCCTCATCCTCATCCTCCTCATCCTCTTCCTCCCCCTTCTCCTCCTCGCTATTGCTCCGCGCCCCTCCCTCTCCTCCTCATCTCCTCTTCCTCCTCCCTCCTCCTCCTCTGAATCCTCTGAATCCTCCGTCTCCTCCTCCTCCTCCTCCTCCTCAGTCCTTAGTCCTCAGGCATCAGTCCTCAGTCACCCGCCTATTCCTCCTCATCTTCCTCCTCATCTTCTTCCTCTTCCTCCTCCTCTTCCCTGGCTCACCCCCATTTCTTCTTGCTATCGGCCTTCATAAGTTTCTTATTGTCACTGGTCCCCATCCTCCTCTTTCTCCTCGTTCTCTGTCCCCTCCTTGTTCTCTTTCATTCCTCCTCTCTCCGTATCCTCTCTCCTCATCCTCATCCTCCTCCTCTGCCCTAGTTCTCAGTCCCCAGTCCTTAGTCACCCTCCTCTTCCTCGTCCTGGTCCTCCTCCGCCATCCATCCATCCTTTTCATTCCCATTTGTCATTCGTCCTTTTCCCTGTTCCCGTTTCATTCGTTCCTCCGTCCTTGAGCCTCTTTTCTTCTTCCTCCTCCTCCTCCTCCTCCTTCTTCTCCTCCTCCTCCTCCTCCTCCTTTTCCTCCACCTCCTCCTCCTCCTCCTCCTCCTCCTCCTCCTCCCCTCTCTCTCCCTCTCCTCCCTCTCTCCTCCCGCTCCTCCCTCCCCTCGGTGGAGGGGATGGGGGAAGGCCTGACTGAGGGAGAGAGGAGGGGAGGAGGAGGAGGAGGAGGAGGAGGAGGAGGGGAGGAGGAGGAGGAGGAGAGGGGCGGCGCGGAGCAATAGCGAGGAGGAGGAGGAGGAAAATAATGGTAGAGGAGTGAGGGAGGGAGGGAGGGAGAGAGCAAGCGGCGGCGGAGGAGGAGACGGAGGAGGAGGAAGAGGAGGAGCAGTCAGAGGAGGAGGGTGACTGAGGACTATGGACTGAGGAGGAGGCGGAGGAGGAGGAGGAGGAGAGTGAGGGGCGCGGAGCAATAGCGAGGAGGAAAATGAGGAGGAGGAGGAAAATAATGGTAGAGGAGTGAGGGAGGGAAATAGGGAGAGAGCAAGCTGCGGTGGAGGAGGAGGCGGTGGCGGAGGAGGCGGAGGAGCAGGCGGAGGAGGAAGAGGAGGGGCCAGAGGCTCGGAGGCGCAGGTGTCCCCACAGCAACAGCAGTTCGCGTTCTCGATTCGTTTGCCATCCTGAGGTGAGCGGCGCCAAAAACGGGGTCGTCTGCGCCGACATTGGCGCGTAAGCTGCCCGCGCAAGGCCGCGCGTAAGCGCCCTCGTCGCCAATGTGGCGTGCCGCGCCGGCGGCCCTCGTGAGCCGCCGCGTAAGGTCGTTGTGTCATCTCGCGTAAGACCCGTCTTTGCTGGTCGCCTGGGTGGCGACCTCACCATTCATATCCATTCAGTAGAGCGTGCCAGGACTCTGCCTGTCGGTGGCGAACAACACCCAGACGCGACGAGTCGCTGTCACGACGATGTGGAGAGGCGCTGCGCGAGTGCGCCTGTCGTTCGTGGCGCGAGCGCCCGTCGTGCGACGAGTTTCCCTGCGCGCCATGTGAAGGAATGGTGTAGACAGGTCTGTAGTTCACGCCCTTCGGCTGAGAGGAGCAAAAAAGCCGGCCCACTCCACGAAATGAGGAGGACGAGGAGGAGTAGGAGGAGGAAGGATGAGGGAGGAGGGGGCAAGGGGGAGGATGAGGAGGAGGACGAGGAGGAGGAACAGGAGGAACAGGAGGAGGAGGAGGAGGAGAAGGAGGAGGACGAGGAGGCGGAGGATGAGGATGAGGAGGAGCAGCGGCAGCATTCAGGAGGATCGGTGAGGTGGTCGGTTCACGTCCTGGGGCCCAGGGACGGCCCCAGGGAGGTCGAAAACGGTGCGAAACTTACAGGACCCGCTTCCCATCAGGACCCCTCCTCCTGAAGACAACGCAAACCTCCCCCACCCCAAGCCAGGACCCCTGGTGGTTGGGTGTGGGGTTGAGGGCGGGTGTGAGCTGTGCTGTCCTCTCCTCTATGGCGAAGAGCTCGACTGCCCGCACCTCGGCAGGGCGCCTGGCCTGGGGGTGGGGGAGGCGGGGCGGCGAGACCGGGGCGCGCCTCTTCGCATGACAGGCGGTCGTGCCCGGCTGCCCCTCTTCTGGCACCGGGGCGGGGGGGGGGGAGTGGACAAGAACGTGTGTGCGTCACATGTGCGCGTCACCAAGCGGATTACAAGAGGATTCCTTTTGCACGGTGGATTGCACAGACATTGTTTTATGGCGGCTTGCAAATGTAGATCCCTCTTGTGGCGGAGTACCAATGGATTCCTTGAATGGTGGATTACGGATTGATCTCGTTCGGTGTGGATTACAAGTTGATTCCGTTTGTGGCCGATTACAAATTGATGTTTGTTGTGGCGGATTACACATTGATGCCTCCTGTGGAGTACTACAGATTCATTTCCATTCGG